ACAAAAATGTAATAAAAATATTTAGTGAAAAGACACATTTTAACTCCCATTTATGGACTTTAAAAATACAAATAAAATTTATCAATTTGATATTCAGCTTGTTACCAGCTCAATACATAGCCTTGATTTACTTCTTAAAATCGTACTGCAGCATCTTTTGAAAAATCAAATAAATGCAACTTGATACCTTCATCAGTTATGTTCAGTAGAGGTAAGTATTTAAACAGTACACTCATCCCTGGGTCTCTTTAAAAAACGGAAAAGTCTTAGTCTAAGTTTAAAATTTTAATATTTATAAATTTAAAAAATTTTACACGTGCTGAATAGGAGCAGTGCTAACATCTTGTGACCATTAAACCACAAATTCACTGCATGGAACTTCTTTCTCTGTTGTTAGGTGCTGTCGAGTCGATGCCGACTCATAGTGATTCTACAGACAACAGAATGAAACGCCGCCCGGTCTTGCGCCATCCTCATGATCCTTGAGATGTCTGAGCCCATTGTTGCAGCCACTGAGTCAATCCATCTCATTGCAGGTCTTCTTCTTTTTAGCTGACCCTCTACTTTCTTTGTACAGAGAACCAAATCACAATACAAGTATTTGCAATTTGTCATAATTTTACGTGGCAAAAGACACCACACCAGGAAGCCTGTACCCAGAACACATCTTAGGCCAGATCCCCATTAGGTACATAGTGCAGATGCAGTATTTAATTTCACACCAGGAAAATGAGCTATTAGTACATAAGAGCTTCTAATAGCTAAGAGGGCCAAGAATGCAGACTGAACGAGAAAACAAAATCCTTGTGTTTCTGGGAAGACCCTGGAGTAAGTGATGATTAAACCACAATGGATGAGTGGTCAAACTCTGTGGTGTGAGCCCAAGGAGTAGAATGTACAAGCCATATCTCCCAGTTCTACAGAGCCAATTTGGAATATTCCAGTCTTTAGAAAGACTTATGCATGGAGAGCTACAGGCCAGAAATAGAATCCCACGTCCATCCTCTTTAAAACAGAGTGGACAGCCACTGTTAAGCTTCTCTCTTTACCTGAACCAAATACATTCTTTGGCTAAATGTGTCATGCGTTCCCATTTTAATCCATCAGGTATATTTCACATTTTTCTTACATCTAAATGATAATGTTTGAAGTTCAACTTTAACTATGGTACTTCAAAATCAACATGATCTCAACAATATGCCTAATTTGGACAATTTTAAATTTTAGGAGTCAATGTTAAAGACAATTTGAAATGCAGTGTTTTTAGAACATAGTTTCAAAGTCAAATCATATCCACTTCCATTTAAAAATAATTTAAAACATTATTATACCCTAAAATCAGCTGTGTTGTTTTGGAGGAGAATTTACAGAGAAAATTACAATGTTAATAACCCATATCCAAATCAGTTCCTTATTCTCTAGTTTAAAGAAACCCTTAAGAAGTATTGAGGTTTCTTCTGCTTGGAGAAGGTAACATTTTACTCAGGAACCAATAACAATCATCCATCAGAGACAACAACTGAGTAATGTCTAAGGACAATAACCTCTAATGACGGAGGTGGCAAACCAAACACAGATAAATTGTAGTAGAGAAAATACTATTTTAAAGGTCAGCTGACATCATCTACTAACATACGCAAACCCGAGATCCTTGACCTTTACAGCTAGTTCTCTTTAATACATGAGGGACCCATACAAGTTTTAACAGATAAATGGAAAGACTTGACATCTTAGGTAAAAGAAAAAGTTAAAGGAAGTAAGGAGAGTGTTAAATAATGTTGAATGGCGGGGAGGTCATATTTGGTTTTGAAATGAAAATTGTGGGGAAAAAAGGTAGTAACCATGTCATCAGAACAGAATAATGCATATAATCTGATACAGGTTTATCATGAAATAAGATTGAAGTCTTAACAATTAAAAAAAAAAAAGTTGTTTTTTTTTTTTTTTTACAACATCAAATACCATGTTATACTAGACAAAAACACAATGCAGTGATGTTAACATGCCACTGTCTTCCAGTAGATTATGCTACAGCAAAGGAGAAGGAACTAATTAAACCTGGAAAGGACACTGTCAAATACACGGTCAAGGAGCTTAGTGAGTGAGGTAGCCATCCAGCCAGCAGAAGGACCACGACAGCAAACCAACCTTTTAAACAGAGCTATAACACAGTTAGTCACATGAAGCTATCTCAGGAATATAAATTATAAAACTACAATGTCCTCAGTGATTTTGCCTGGGAACCCCTCAGAGATTGTGCCTTGGGAAACAAATGGGCCAAGGAAAATGAAAAGAGAAAAAAGAAAGAAAAAAAAAAAAATCAAAGAATGAATTGCAAACTAGAGGTTAAAAGGCTCTATGATGAAAAGTGGAAATTTTATGCAACACAAAAGTCTAAAAATCAAGTAGGGCACAAATAATGTTTGTGTGTTTAAAAATATTTAGACAATTTTAATAGTTTGAATAGGAAAAATCAATCGATTAGAATTAAGCCAGCATTCTCGACAACCACTGGGCCGAGAGCATTTTAAGAAGGGGGAGAGGTGGGCGGGGCTGGGGTGGGGACCAGCTAATGAACACAACAAAAGACAAAACTGAACAAAATGGAACTAGACCTAAACTAAACAAATACACAATTAGGCAAGCATATACAGAAAACACCCTGGAAACGGTCTAGCTGTTGCAATTAAATGGCATCCCATTGCCTAAAAAAAGGCGATGGCCACCTCCCAGCGCCCTCCCCGCCTCGCCCCCATCTGCCACTAATCAACATTCTTGTGATCTCTTAAGTATTGTTTGGTCCGATGTGAAGTTAAGTGGTGTTTTAATTAAAACCGGTCTAATGAAATCGCACTCCGGTAGCAGCATCTGGACAGATTTAGTAAATGAATTTCTGTCTGGATGGAAGTGAGTAAATACAGATGCCTGTTTGCTTACAGAGGCCTTCCTTTCCTGCTCCTCTTTATGTTTAACAGTAACTGAATTATAGTGCCAGGGCCAACAGACCTACCCAGCCTGTGGCCGATCTCAGTGTCCTCTAGCAAAGGGCCTCTGGGACACGCATGGGTACACATGACTCAAAGCCTCAGGGAGCTGGGGACGATCAGAACCGAGTGATTACTGCTGCACAGGGCTTCAAGTTCTTTAAAGGACAAAAAAAGAGAAGAAATCCGAAAATTAATGCCTTGTTCAAAGTATTTTTTAAAATACCAAAACACGTGTATTTCATGAAGAGTGACACTGGTTCTCTTCACTCTGCAGTCTTGTAAGACCTTTGTGCTCTACCTCAATTGTTCCTCAAGGGTGATTCAGTTAAGAGAGAAGTACTCCTAAAAAGTTACGGCCCTCGGCCTTGCAATCACTCACATCTAATGTCACATGCACAGGTTGGATGGGACTTAAGATGCTCTAGTTCTTGTTAACTGCAACTGTTTTATGTAGCAGTTGTCACAAAGTTCTGCACACATCCCACATGAAGCTGTATATGCTATATGCAATTCAGATATAAAAATATATTTGAAGGATAGTTTTGCATATAGGTGTCACGAACACAGCAGGAAGAGAAAGCCCATGCTTCTGAAGCAGAGGGCACCTGTACCAAGGCCTCTGTTGCTGTGCTGTGATTCTGGTATTGCCAAGAGTTTCATAGGCCTGCGGTTTCTGTAACCAAAGGGGGCATGCAGGATTGAGGGAAACATGGCAGCAGTACAAAAATCCTGATTAGAAAAAAAAAACTCAAACTAGAGGATCTAAAGTGAACTCTGGAATCACTGAAATAAAATTTGTATGGTTCCTGTGAATTGAGTAGGGAATACTCAGTCCAGCATAATTATTATCCCTAATGGCCCTAAGAGTCTATATCAGTCAGTAATTTACATCCTTTAAAATGATTATTGCTTAAGCAAGGCATTCAGAGATCATGAGCCATGGGCTCCGTGGCTGGATAGAAACACACTCCAAGTGAGCCTCCACAGGAAGGAGCTGTTCATCTTACTCATTAACCCACACAAATACTTCACACTCCAAACAAAGGGGCAACAGGTTCATGATAGCTCACACTCTAAACCAACTCTGAAGCTCGAAGACTTGATTTCTTACGAAAACAAATTTTTTTCTTTTTTTTTGTATTTTGCTTTTTAAAATTAAGGCAATGAAATGGCTACAGTTCCTTAGGTTCTCTTTATGGACCAAAAATATACATGTAATTTCCTCAAGTTTGTTCAGGCATCAGAGTAGGACACAGAACCTGTGGCACCACTTCGATGTTACCAGAGAGAGAACAAGCACATGTGTGAGCTAACAGAAGCCCCAAACACCTGGTGCTGTTCTTTTTCTTTCTGCTGAATCACCAACTTAATCCTCAAAGGGAAGGATAAAGTTTAAAAGCCAAAAACAAAAAACAAAACAAAACAAAAAAACTTAGTATTTTTCAATACATTTTGCATTATTTTAAAAACTTCTGGGGTGGTGGTAGGGAGCTGATTAAAATGAAGATTCTAAAGTCCAACCAGAAATTCTGACTCTGAAAGTCTAGGCTTGGGCCCAAGAATCCACCTTTTCTGCCAGCTCCTCAAGGGATGCAGGTGATTAATTCATGGATAATTTGAGAAACACTGGCTTAGCATAGATTCATCTAACAGTTAACAACATTTCTCAACTTTGGTGAGCCACTTACATTTTGATGAAAGGGGGAAAGGCACTGAATATGTATTTTGTGGTGCCCATATCTGTTTGCACATATATGGAATTGCATTTTGAAAATTTTCAATTACTGCTCAAATTCTATAACACGTATCTGACAGATCGCAGCTGACACCCAACAGCAGAAGCTGACTCCAAGTTGACCTCTCCTGTTTCACTGTATTACGTATCAAACTTCCAGGCTCTCCCAAATCCAAAATGGTCAAAGAACTGAGGAACAGGAACAAGACTCACGCCAACTTTCGGCAATTCAGTGCACTTTGCAGAAAGGATCTAATTTAGGCATAGAGTTTTGTTGTTTATTTTACACAAAGGAGGCCACCAACATTTGCCATAAATTCTTCTAAACTCTTTAGGAAGGCCATCTTCTGCTTTCGATCCAGCGTGGGAGGAGTGCTGCTTGCAGTGAGCTTGTTGAAGGCATCAGCTAATCGCTGGTAAATAACTGGGTCTTGTTGACTCGACAGTAATGTTTCAACCAATTCAGAATATTCAGCCTATTGAAAAGATAATGTACAAATGAAAATGGATCTTCCTTAAAATATCACACAAGCAGATCATACTGGTTATTGGCAGAGTCTGATAAATCTTTTTAGTAGCTAACACTTCCCGTTTATTACATACTGTAGGCACTGTGCCAACCTTTTAGATGAATTACTTCATTTAGTATGTACAGCAATGCTATGAAGTAGGCACTATTTACATTCCTGTTTTACAGATAAGGGCTTCGACACTCAGTGAGATGGAGTAATACAGCTAAGATCACACTGTCTTTAAGCAAGAATCTAGGCAGTTTGGCTCCAGAGCCCACATGATTAATGATATTGTTTTGTTGCCTCATCTGTGTTTTCAAATCACATTCATCACTGAGTTGGCGTTTTATACATAACCTACATCTGCTACATGAGTGTCACCTGTTTTCCAGAGGTTTGTAGAGATATCTTATATACGTGGTTCTGAGGACCAGAGATAGTATGGGCAGGAGTCACTGGGGAGGAGGTGGCATGGTGGGAGGAATGTGTTTCTATCCCTTCTCAAAGTGGAAGCAGAGCACTATGGATGACTGGGTAATTGTAGCTCCCAATCAGCTCTGAATGCAGCGGCTCTTGAGCAAGGACCTTAATACATACGGGAATGGTGTGTGGGGTGTGCACGTGCATGTTTAATGTTCTCCATAATAAAGCATTATACAGGGGAATGGATGTGGGGTTAAGGGAAACCCAACTGGGCAGCTTTCCACGATAAACTTTCATGGGGCTGGGGGAGTGGGGAGAGCTGGCCTATCATTATTTTTCATTAGCTTACTGGGATGCCATTATAGATCAAAATAATAAAACCACTTGGGAAAAAGGAGCAAGGGCCAGCACCCCAACTCCTTACTTGCGAGCCTGAAGCCACAGCGGCTGCCCTAACTGTCCTATCCAAGGGATAGGCTTGCCCACACGGGACTTCGTGTCAAATCGCTTCTGAATTCACAAGAAGGGGTATCCTGTGGGGCCAGACCAGGAAGATACCATCCCAGCTATTCCCAAGTCCTCATTCTCTTTCCCAAGTGTATAAATATGCTTGCTTTTTGTCATTTAAATGGTAATCATTCTATATGTAGAGATAGTAAGTCTACCTTACTAGTAAGTAATGAGGAAATCAAATGACAAAGCAGTCACAGACCTGAAAAACAGGGTACAATCTTCAGATGGAATACATCTATAGCAGACAGCAAGAGATGAAAGCCCCAGAGCACCTTCAGCTTGGGGTGTGGATGGTGTAAGACGTCTGTAGGAAGGGACTCTTTAAGTAGTATGGACAGACCACCCCCAAGCCCTATCTTTGTTTAACAGTGGAAGGAAAATCGAACCCTGAGTGCTAACTGGCATGAAAAAATGCCAAAGTTTGTCTATTCCATCAACTGGTCACTCTAGGAGGCGTTTATGCACACAGGTGAGGGTGAAGTGAAGTCAATGTAGGTGATGACCCAATAGGATTCTTCTCAAACACTTGATGGCCATCTGTTCTATTGGGATAGGAAGGGAGACATGAGCCAGGCTAACCTTTCTTCTGTTACATCAACTTCCACTCAGTGAGTGCTTCAGAGTTTTTTTAAAGACTCATCACAACAAAGTGAAATAATACATGGTTCCTTTTAACTTCCCACACTTTCTGAAGGCGGTCTCCTCCTAGTCTTAGGTGACTCATCTCATTTCCCTTCTAACAGTGTTGTAAGACAACAGAATAGAAAATATGTACCCATGAACCATTCATGTTCGTATTTCTGGCTCCTAACTCTGGTGGTGTAGTGGTTAAGGCATCTGGCTGCTAACCAAAAGGTTGGTGGTTCAAACCCACCAGCTGTCCTGTGGAAGAAAGATAGGGAAGTCTGCTTCTGTAAAGATTCGCAGCCGTGGAAACCCAGTGGGAGTCGCTGTGAGTCAGAACTGGCATGATGGCAGTGATCATGCCCACCATGGTGAAGGATTGTTTGCGATGGCAGAAAAGGGAAAATAAATGCTCATTAATTGACAAAATAGCTTGTCACATCAACGCTAAAAAAGAGGACGCTAAGAAGTACTGCCTCACTGAAATGGAACAGAAGCACTAAGCCACACACAGGTCCTGTAAGCACTGGAGGCATTAAGGACCGTTTGTCTGAACAATCTCTTTGTGGCGCTGATTCAGAACAGTCACATGGAAGACGTGCTCCCATTACCTGATGCAAGCACACCAGTGTGTAGAATGCTTCACCTGCTGCAGTTGTCATCTCGGTATTGTGCTTTTGCAAAACCAGCATATCAAAAACCAGCTGAAATTACAAAACAGGGCTTCTTAGCAGGAGTAAATGATGAGCATTTAACCCCGCCCCACTCTGAAAAAGATGGATAGCAGTTATTAAATCAATCTGAAAATTAAAGAAAGATTTCAAAAAACCCAAGATAACTTACAGATGTTATTCCTAGCCAAGGCATACTGAATAATTGAATTATTAACTTTCCAACTGTATTTACCACATCGAGAATCCCAAATAAAGGCAGATGAAAAAAATGTATCCATAAAGTTTATCTCCAGGAAAAAAACACAGTGAACAGAAAGTAACTATTACCTCCCGTAGGTATTTCCTCATTTGAAGCACTGACTATACCTATCATAGCAGATGATTTTGCCACATGTCACCTAAACAAACATCTTACCTTAAGAAAGTGCCGTGTTGCTAGAAAAAGTGGTGAATCTGTTTCTTGTGCTTTTGCACACTGTTCAGCTAATGGCGTCAAGGCCTCTAGGCAAAGCTGGCAAACTTCCGAACTCATTCTGATCACAAACGTTAAAGAACAAATCAGATAGGATCTACTCGGTTTATAAAAGATCAAAAAGTTACAGCTGTTATCAGATAGACAACAATTCTGGGAATGAATACAGATAAATGAAGGTACTAGTAGTGTGCAGTGTAAGTTCTGGTGGCACAGCGCCTATCTGACTGCTAACCAGAAGGTTGGTAGTTCAAATCCACCAACCACACTGCAGAAGAAAGACTGGGTAATCTACTTCGGTAAAGACTTACAGCCTCAGAAACCCAATGGGGGTTGCTGTGAGTTACGATCGACTCAATGGCAGTAGGTTTGGTTTGGTTTTGGTTTAGTGTGCGGTATGTCTCAAACAGTTTTGCGAGTAATTATTTTGGGTCTAGGACTGATGGTTTGAGATTGTTTCTGTGAAACATACAACTAATGAAAAGCCAGCAACAGTGACACTACTCATTGGCACCCTTGATGAAAGAATGCCAGTGGGACCAGGGGCCAAATGCTCTTAGAATCAGTTAAAGGAGGACAAAATGTAGTAAACTAACCAAAGACGGCAAAACATAAGAAACAGAGCATCAGAACAGCTCTAGATAAATATATTTTTGTAGAAATGAAACTGAATCCCCAAAGAAGAAACAAAATCCCCAATTTTAAAATCTTTTCTTTAGGTAAGATCATTTTCCCCAAGTGCCAAGTGATGTTCCTTTAAAGGATATGACGTCATTCCTAGTTCCAGCGAGTACATCAGACTTTTAAACAGATCTTCCGGAAGCTGTGGTATTTTTTCAGGAAATATCTCACAGATGAATGTGATTAATTTGTAGTACTGATTACAAAGGGTTGGGAACTGAAACAGAAATAATAATTAGATGCTTAATAGTATCTAAGTTGTACTTTCATTACTGCAATAAAATAACTGATAAGCTTATAAGTATAATGGAGTCTTTACAATATGTTGATGACAGAAAATAAGAATACTTAATTACATGGAAAAGTAAGCTGAAACATGTAAAGTATTTTAGTAAGTAACACGGAAGAAGGCAACATACAGAAGAAACAATTATCTTCAGGAGTTAAGAGCAGTCAATTCCAGACATTGTGTTTATCTTGAAAAAGTAAACAAGACAGACAATTCTAAAATTATTAAACGACTTTGTAAGAAAACCTGTTGTCAAGGTGCTTATTTCCATTCAAGCATGTTAGACAAATATGAGACGGTGATATACACTGGTATGACTACACACAGACGAGAGTGTTCAGTCCTTCACACTTCCAAAAACTACTCTCTAGTTGGATAGCCCCAGAGAACCTAGGTCAAGGGAAAAAAAAACCTACTGCCACTGAGTCGATTCCGACTCACAGTGACTCCCACTGGGTTTCCAAGGCAGTAGATTGCCTCATTTTCCTTCCAAGGAGTAGACAATGAGTTTGAACCACCCACTTTGTTGTTAGCAGTCAAATGCTTAAGGCACAGTGCCACCAGAGCTCCTTTAAGAGAACCCAGATAAAAGCAGGCAATCTACAGTTTAACTGCCTATAAGAAAATACACATCTAGATATTTAGTGGCTTATCTGATGGAAGACAAATCAGCACACAGAGTTACTCAAAATCCCCATCCTACTAGTTTCTGTGTGAACCCTTTGCTCGCAGGCCAACAGGATCCTTCCCAGAGTCACAGACACTTCTCTAGGATAGAGCATATGGCTATCTGCTGCTAGCCTGGAAATCTAACACCATCCTTACTCTTATACTCAACTTCCAAACACTCCTCTAGCATTCTCCCTCCCTCCACTTCACGCATGTGAGCACACACACACACACGCTCCCCCTTCCTCTCCATCCAAGTTCGTGTCCCCACTCTTTCACCCCCTATGACAACTCATGGTAAGAGAGAAAGAAAAAGGGCAGCATCTAACCCCCAATCCCTGATACAGACTGGGGAAACCAAGTCACAACAGAGTCAGAATGTGCAAAAGTTTAAGAGACAGGGTGTCATAATCTGTTTACAATCCCATTTCTACATGGAGTGGCTTGGAAACTACGTCCCTCTGCACAATCCTTCAATCTGAAAATGATGCTCAGGAAGTATCAGAAAAACACCTAACACATGTAAGTTACTTTATTTGCTTACTGACAAATGAGGAGAGTGTGAAAACCGCTAACATTAGAACTCAGACTGTAAAAGGGCTGTTGTTGTTGTTATGCTCCCTGTAAAAGGGCAGTTTTTTTTTTTTTCCTATACCACTCCTTGACACAGTCACTAATAATAAATACATCAGTGAATCCGGGAAGCTGGGTCAGGAACTGAAGATTAAGTGAGGATCTGTGCCACTGAGTTGCATACACAAGTATGAAAGGTAGATTATAGTAAAAGAAATTCATTATTTTCACATGTACTCAACAGGTAAAACCAAAAAACCCAAATGCCTTGCTGTTGAGTTGATTCCGACTCATAGCAACCCTACAGGACAGAGTAGAACTACCCCATAGGGTTTCTAAGGCTGCAAATCTTTAGAAGCAAACTGCGTCATCCTCCTCCTGCGGAGTGGCTAGTGAATTTGAACTGCTGACCTCTCTGTTAGCAGCCAAACCCTTAACCACTGCACCACCAGGGCTCCTTCACTCAACAGATAAAACTCTTTAATTAAACAAGGGGTACATTCTAGTCTGAAGTGTCTTTAAAGTCAAGCATATAGCATTTTAATGTTCACGTTTACTTTATTACCTTCAAAAGGTCTTGTGACATCAAGGGCAGAATCAGGTTGACTCCATATAAAACAACATCAGCTGCTGATACTGATCTGTTGGCTGCTTGACCTGGTTCATGTCCTCTAAAAACTTCATCTATTAAAAGCAAAAGAATGCAGTCCTGTAGTTGTCACATCAATAAATGTCCAAAGTTGATACATACTACCCTTCCCACTCACTGCCATCAAGTCAATTCTGACTCATAGCAACCCTTTAGGAGAGAGTAGAATCCATAGGGTTTCCAAGGCTGCAAATCTTCACGGAAGCCGACTGCCTCATCTTTCTCCTGTGGACTGGCTGGTTGCTTTGAAATGCTGGCCCTCTGGTTAGCAGCCCAATGCTTTAACTACTACACAACCAGAGGTGTTTATGGTACCCTTATGGACCTGGGAAAAAATTAAAGCCTAGAGCCAAAATAAAGCCATTAGTAGATAAGAAAGAATTCAGATAACTCTCGCTCTATTTCATTCCCTTTACATTTATTTTTTAGGGGCCCTATGCACTTGATGCAACAGTGTTGGTGATGTGGAGGCAAGTGATTGTCTAGAAATAAAGGGAAGAGAAATGCTAAATCAGTGTTTGAAAAGCAAGATAGATTTTTATCAACACACTGGCCATACTATGAGCTAGATAATTTCTGCAGAGATATTTATTTGATCTGTTACGTGTGTGGGATCTTGGACAACATAAAAATTAAGATATTACATAAAACAAAAAAATATTATTATTTTTAAAGCAGTCAATATGACAAATGAACACATAAAGAATGCATATAAAAAAGAAGACCCCTACGACCTAGATAGGTAAGTGAGGAAAATCTACCTACAAGCATTTAACAAAGCTGGGGACCCAAAGGTAAAAGATCACCTTGAACCATTCATCAAGATGGGCTTATTTTTAAAAGATGACATTTTACTCCTGGTGAGAATATAGCATTGGGTATCTGGAATATTCTCAATTTTTGCTCTTATAAACAGTGATGCCACAGTCTTGTCTGAATTTCTGATCATATCTCCTGAGTAGATATAATGTGCAAAAGGCATGAATATTTAAAGCTCTTAATTAATTGCTTTTACTGGTAACCATCATACTATGATTGATAGTTAAGATAGTTACCAGCAAAAATAATGATTGATAGTTATGACAGTTAACAGCAAAAACAAAAATTAGGAGTCTAAAATATTCATGCCTTAGCAACAAAGGAAATGATAACATGATTCATAAACATAATGAGCTCAGCACAGAAAATAATATGAACAAAGAAATCAGGGACACCATGAAAAAACACCTAACAAAATGACAGCATCCAATTCATATTTGTCAATAATTACACTGAATGTTAATGGCTTAAATGCACCACTCAAGAGACAGAGTGTGGCAGATAGGATAAGAAAACAAAATTCATCAATATGCTGTCTACAAGAGACATAGTCAAAAATAGACTAAAAATCAAAGGTTGGAAAAAGACGTATCAAGCAAATGGCAACCGTAAAAGAGCAGGAGTGGCAACGTTAATCTCTGATCAAATTGACTTTAAGACAAAAACCACCATGCGAGACAAGAAAGGACATTATATAACGATTAAAGGATCAATTGAACAAGAAGCTATAACCATAATAAATATCTACAGACCCAATGAAAGAGCTCCAAATACATAAATCAGACTTTAAAAGAGTTGAAAAGGCAAACAGATGACTCCACAGTCTTGGTGGAAGACTTTAATACACTACTTTCAATGAAAGATAGAACAACTGGAAAGAAACTCAACAAAGATGCAGAAGAGCTAAACAATACAATCCACCAACTTTACCTTATAGACATCTACACAGCACTTCACCCAACAATAGCACAATATACATTCTTTTCCAGTACACATGGAACATTTTCCATGATAGACCATATGTTAGGCCATAAAGCAAGCCTTCATAAATTTCAAAACACTGAAACACTATAAAATATTCATGCCTTTTGTGCATTGTATCTACTCAAGGATACGTTTGAAATTCAGACAAGACTGTAGCAAAATGTTTATAAGAGCAAAAATTGAGAATATTCTAGATACCCAATATTAAGGTAACAGATGAGATCCCAAAATTGGAGTATTATGGAACAACTGAAAATATCATTAAAAATTTTAATGACAAGGAAAAAGCTAACAACACATTGATCCAAAAGGCAGATTACAAAATTATATTTGCAATATGATCTCAAAGGGAAATGTATAAAAATAATCAAAAAGGAAATTAACAACTTTTTTTAAAAATAAGATAAACTGGGAGAAAAAGTACTTGTACCTAAAAACTACTTTTTAAAGTCTAATTCAGAACTTTTCCTTTAGGAGTCTCAGTTTTAGTTCAAAGAACCCAATCTTCTAAAGCAGGGGTCAGCAAAATTTTTCTGAAAGTCAGAGTGGAGAGCTTGGATTTCACCTGAGGGGAACCAGGGAACCGCTTGGGAGTGCTGGCAGGCGGGTGCTGGGGCTGCCCTGACAGCTCTGGTCTCTCCACCTACCAGATACACCTCCCAGGGTCTGGAAAGGCCTGGAGGCCATGGGCTCCAGGTGCTCTGCTAAAGGTTCAAGAATGGAGTGTTCCCAGGACCAAGCGAAAGAAAGATGTTGGACAACTATTTTCAGTTAAGCTTTTAATGTCTCACCTATCATGTTAATTTTATAATATTTTATTACCTCACTTATCTTTATTTTAGAAATATGTAAAATACTACTTTCCTTTTACATTTTATCAACTAATGCTTTATTTTCCTATTATTTTCTATTTTGTCTTAATTTTTGCCTTGTCTAAATTTCAACCCATATTCTATTCTTCCCACCCCAACAGTGTCCCCAGGCTGTAGCCCTTGAAGTGCCTGGGTTTTCTAGAGTGACTACCTCAGAGGATGGAGGAGTAACTAGTCAACAAAGTGTCACCGTGAGGAGTGTGGCCTCTGGATCTACTCCAAGGGATCTGAATCCCGTTCCTGCAACATACTAGCATACTGACTGGGGACTAATGACAGCCTCTTTGCATTTCATTTTCCTCATCTATAAAATGAACACAACAGTGGTATTCACTTCATGTTTTATGATAGGTATGAACAGAGCATTTCGTAAAACCATTCCAACAAATGGAAGACATTCTTATGTGAGGAAAGCCAAGATGGAAGGGCTGCTGGTTCCCAACCTCACTTCAGACAAGGATACTGACTTTCATCTATTTTGTGCATTGGATTTTTTCATGGGATTTCACTTAGAGAAAACTTTCCCTTGCTTTAATAGAAGAAAGAAAGAAAACAAAAGAATGAAAGAAAGAAAGCAGTAACAACACACTACACCATACCTGTATCACTGAAGTCGATGAATTCCTTTGATAGAAGATTAGTAAGAAGTTCCATAATGAGAAGAAGGTCTTGGTATTGTTCTTCCTCTGCTGTAACATCTATTCTCTGCCGCCCTAAATTATTCTTAGAATACACTTGCAACAAAGTAAGGCAGGCTTCATACAAGTTCATAGCTTTGGACTGCAAGAGAGTATACATAAATTATGCTACTAGGCAGAACCATAACTGGGAAATAAGAGATATTTAAGAAATTTAAACACAGAATCAAGATAAATTTATTCTAAATTCCAATAACTGAAAAAATACCCTCAACTCACTACCACTGAGTCAAGTTTGACTCACAGTGACCTTCGTTGGGTTTCTGAGGCAGCACGTCTTTGTGGAAGTAGATTGTCCCATCTTTCTTCCACAGAGCGGCTGGTGGGTTTGAACCACCAACCTTCTGGTTAGCAGCCAAATGCCTTAAACACTACACCACAGCTCTAATAATTGTTTGAAACTATACTAAGATATTCACAATAAGGAAAAAACAAACATGATTGTAGTTATGTTTAAAATATTAACGGTTTTCTAACAGTAAAATTTGACTTTTAATTTTTGCTCACCTGGTAATAAACACTAGGTCAGACAGCAGGGAGCTCTGGTGGCACTGGGGTTAAAGCACTGGGCTGCTAACCAAAAGGTCAGTGGTTCAAACCCAACAGCTGCTATTCGGGAGAAAGATGAGGCAGTCTGTTTCTGTAAAGATTTATAGCCCTGGGAACCCTGTGGGGCAGTTATATTCTGTCCATAGCGTTGCAGTGTTACTATGACTTTGAGTTAGAAGAGGCAGTGTTTTGTTTTTTTTTTTGAAGATAATAAGATTTTTGTAACAGAATGGTTTATTTCTGCCATTCAGCCTCTTGTGTAACATTTATTAAATATCCAACAGTGGTCTTAAACTGCAGAATAAATTTCAAGAGGCCTGCTTACTCAGGATGCATCTGTGACTATAACATTTATAAAATATAACCTTTGTTTTTGGGCAGGTTCCTCTGGTCTAGCATAAAAGAACTTATGATGAGCCAAGAGCAAATGGTTTGGGGCAAGATATATGCTAATCTGCCAACAAATACAAATAATACTCCTTTAAGGCTGTTTTGAAGCAGCATTTTCAAATAGTTTGATGGGACAAAGAAAATCATCTTCTCTTATGAAATATATGAGAATTTACTGGGACTAAGCAGTCATCTGATATACGAAATAAAGATCTATATAAACTGCAGTTAAAAATTTAAGCCTTTAGGTTCTCAAATTTCCTACCCAAATCCATTTCTTTATCAAACACTCCTCACTTGAATGAGTTTGATTGAATAACTTATTAGCCAAAAGAAGTTACTGATTTTTAAAGTATTTTTTGGGGTGAGAATTTTTCTTTGCTCAGTATGCCTTCCTCTGAGTTATGAGTTCTTCTTAGAGTCTTTTCTAGACAACTTTTAGAGGCATACAAATAGTATTTAAGATAATACCCATGACATTTGAAGCCATGTATTTATTATTTCATGATAGCTTAAAACATTTCTAATCCTAAAGGTACAAAATCGGGAAGTGCTTACCTCTCCAAGATAGCATATTTGTTTATGTGCAACTTCAACAAAAACTTCTATGATAAGATTGATAGTCTCTGGGGTATTTTTATAAACTTCCATCAGTCCAATGCAGTTGGTAAGGAAGTCCATCAGGAAATTAAAAAGGATTGCTACATTGTCAATCTGGGTAGCCTCGGCAATGCCACAGAGTGCCTCCAACGTGGCCGTGATTTCCTGCTTGACTTCCTCTTGCTGACACATCTGCTGAAAGTTTTCTTGATTGATCACTCTTAAGAATCGCTGCTGAAGTGGCTGAAGAACCTAAGAAATTACAGCATCAAGTTTCTCAACGTTCAGTTCACAGGCTTTTTATTCTGGACTTGGAGAAATATTCACTTTTCAGAATAGCTAACTGTTGAAGGCAGGACAAGCACAGAAAACAAGGAACATGCGAACCCAACTTTATGGTCCCCATCATGAAGATCATCCTATCTTCTGGCACACACAAATAAACGACACTCAAATTCCCGAACACTACCTTATTAATGCCATTCAGGGGACTCAGACAACCACCTCTTCAGACAACTACCTTCCCAAATGGTTGGCCAAAAAGAAAATAAAACAAAAAGGCTAAAGAATTAAGCCTCTACAGTAAGAGTCAGCAAACCTGTTCGACACAGCGGACAGTAAATATTGGACTCTGCAAGCCATACACTCTGTCCCAACTACTCAACTCTGCCACTGATGCATGGAAGCAGTAATGCACAGTACGTCAACAATTGAGTATAACTCTGTTTCAGTAAAACTTTACTTAAAAAGCAGAGAGCAGGCAAGATTAGGCCCAGGCGCTCTAGTCTGCCAATCTCGGCTGCCCAGGGCAAGCTCAACACAAACTCTTCACCTGTTTTTTTCCTTTCCCCAGCTCCTCCTGGCACAGAGCATACCTTCAGACAATCAGTCCTGCCCTGGGTGTAAAGATGAGTGCTCACAAGCATGACAATAATATCTGGATTCTAATGAGAACTGACCATGTGACAATACAGTTGTTTAAACTTAGAAACAGCTTGGTTATCCCCTGGTGTTAAAGCCATACAAGACTGCCTCATTCTGTTACTGCATTCTGCCTCCCTGACACTTAAAAGGACTCCAGTCACAGGAAGACAGGCTGGCATCCTACATACTCTGGTAACTCTTAGTCCCCGGTAGAAAGCTTATTCAATAAGGCAACATGTCCACATTAACCTGCGTTTCCTTGTTCAAGACAGGGCACTGTTTCACTGGCTTTCAATGGAGAATAAACACATCAGATCGGGCTCTTATCTGATGAAAGGGATTACAATATGAGTATTATGAGTTGGGGGAACAACGTGCCTAAACTGCAGAACACTTGATGATATTCAATGTTGTCATATAAGCAGGCATGGACAAATGTAAGATCATACTTGTCAAATGATAATTTTCAATCTATTCACTAGGAGAGAAAAATATGAGAAAAGCTATGACTGCAGTGTTTATGTCTCCACAGACTAGTTTGTGGCAACACAGAGAGAGCATCTACAGGGTTAAACAGAGTGCAGTCAAAATAGAGAGAAATGTTACCTCTGTCCAATACTGTTGTTTGGTTTCAGTGTCCATATGGGCAAAACCTCCTAAAACAAGCGCCTTCATCAGCGTCCTCTGCACGGGACTTGACAAGAAATTAAGAGGTGGGCTTCGTCTTGCAAACTGTTTAGCTAAATTCCACCAGTTTTCACACTGAATTACTAAGTTTGCCCTGTAGGTAGAAATCACAAGACAAGAGATTTATTACCTAGATTATATGTCCAGTAACAAAACAAAAATTGACAGTAATAAAAGGACTTAATTTTTAAAGGCATACAATAGTAAACTTGGTATAGGCTTTGGAATCAAATAGACTTGTGTTTGAATCCCACTAGCTGTATGACATAAGGAGTTCTGGTGGTGTGGTGGAAAAGGCACCTGACTGCTAATCAGAAGGTTGGTGGTTCAAACCCACCAGCCACTCCATGGAAGGAAGACAGGGCAATTCACTTCTGTAAAGATTTACCACCTCGGAAACCCAATGGGGTTGCTATGAGTTGGAAGTGACTCCATGGCAGGGGCAATTGTATGACATTGTAGAACTCATTTAATCTCTCTTAATCATCAGATTCCTGATCTGTAAAACTGCAATAACAAGAGTAATGACAGCAACCCTAGATCACAGGAGGTGACGATTACGTGAGACTATGAAGTGCTCAGAGCCCAGCAAACTCTAAGAATTCAATGCACAGTAGCCAGCCACAATAGTAGTAATAATGGATGATGACGATATTACTCTATATGAAGAAAAAGGAAAACATACCCAGGATTTAGTGTAGAAAGCACTGAACATTTCACTTTGCAATATTAATTTAAACATCAGTTATTCTCACTAAGTAGGGAAAATGCTAATAGAATGGCTAAAAAACATAAAATGAGAATATTCTGTGTGCAAGTATTTTTTTTTTTTTTAATTGTGATTTGGGTGAAAATTTACAGAGAAAATTCACTTTCTATACAGCAGTTCACATACACTTTGTCTCATGACATTGACTACAATTTACCACAATGCAACAGCTCCCCTCCCACTTCCTCCCCATGGTACCTCTTCCCAGTGTCCATCCCTCCATACACTCCTGTCCCCTGAGCTGTCTTCCTCTGCATAAGCAGCCCTTCTTTCTCCCATGATTGTTCTCTCCAAGGAGTGTATCTACTTCAGATAAATGTTCAACTCATGCCCGTCTTTGGTTGGAAGCCATAGGTGTGAGTGTGAGTTCAATTCCAGACCTGAATGAAGGGCAGCTCGGGGCCATAGTCTCAGGGGTTTCACCAGGCTCTATCAGACCAGCAAACCTGGTCCCCTCTTTTTTTTTCTCTCCAAATGATTTTGAGTTTTGTTCTACATTGTTCTCCCTCTCTATCAAGGATCTCCTACAGAGATCCCCTTCCAAGTGGATGGCAGTGGTAGCCGGGCACCATCTAGTTCTTCTGGTCTCATAGTCATATAGGCTGAGGATTACATGGTGTAACAGTTGCTAGGACTAATTGTTTCCATGAATTTTTGTTTTTCTTCATTCTTCTTTGCTCTGGATGAGGAGAGACCCATCATTGCATCTAGATGGCTGCTTGCAAGTTTTTAAGATCCCAATTGCTACTCACCAAAGTAGGAGGTGGAACAATGTTTTGTGCAGTATGTTATGCCAACTGAACTTGATGTCTCCTCTGACTATGGTCCCAAGCCCACAGGTTCAACTACTCGGACCCTCTGGGTAGCTGGCTGTAACCAAAAAGTGACTACAACCTTGCCCCCTGTCAGCTCTACCATACACCTGGGAATTCAGATTATACAAATAAACTTATAGGACCACTGTCTGCCAACCCAATACATGGTCTTGGGTACACTCCGTACTTCATAGGCATACCTACTAGTTCAGCCTGTCTACCCATCTATCCACCCCTATACCATGTTTGCCTTCACTGACAACGCAGTACTGTATGTATGTGCAAGTCCTTTTAAAAATATAAATTACTAAAACAAAACTTATGTGTTATCATTCTAGGTTCTCTGATGCCAGAAATCTGAACAGTGACTGCGATCCTCACGTGTAACATGGTTTCTTGGAAAGCAGTGTTCGCATGTGTAACAACAGCATGATACTGATTTTCACAAGATTCTGCTCCAAAAATCTAGAGTCTATTTGGACTCAGGATCTTATCACTGTTTACCAGTTGGAGAAGTATGTGTACACACACACACACACACACCCGCCACTGACCATCTACTTACCTTTCTCTTCTTTCCACCAAAGTCACAAGTAACTGCACAGTGTCACTAGCCAGGTCTTGCTCACTGCTCCACACAGACAGGTTACTGATGACTTTCTGTAAGAGGTAGCCAATAATCCACTGAGAACCCTCAGTATCTGCTCCAAATGCTGTACTGAATGGCAGGCTTATCTTAAGAGAGAAAACACATTTTTAACGTCAAAAAATGAATCAGCTGGAAAAAAAAAATCCATAAAAAAGGTAAATAAAAACCAGTATCTTATTCTGAAGTAATGCTTATTTGACATTTTGTACTCATTTCCACAAATCCACACCCCTCCCAAAAAAAGACATCCTCAACCCAATGTGCCTGTCAACATGCATCATGAACACAACATGATATTTACAGCAAATACCAAGAATGGAAATTAATCCATTCCCAAATCGTAATCTGTAATTTAGTATTGGTTAAAATAAAAATGATACATTCTAAGAAAAGCTGTTGTGGCTGTTAGTTGCCATCAAGTCAATTCTGACTAACGGAGGCCCTGTGTGCAAAGCAGAAGTGCTCCAAGGGGCTGTCAACACTGACCTTTCGGAAGCAGAGCCCCAGGCCTGTCTTCCCAGGCACCTGCGAGTCAGTTCAAACCACCAATCTTTTGACTAGTCCTTTAGCACTTAACCAATGGTGCCACATAGGGACTCCCTAAGAAAGCTTACTAATAAGAAAGCTTACTAAAACCGTATTTCATTCATATAGTTCTGTTCAGTATGGAAGGTGTTCTAGTTGTTACAAAGTTACACTGTGACAAGGAAAATCAGTAAGAAAAACATGCCACTTTTCAAGTTGCCATCATCATAAATCCCAATGAAGTTTTAAACAGTTTTACATTCTGACCTGGTCATACAGTTTTTCATCCACCAGGAGGTAAGTCTTTGCCCAGCGTTTTAGAAACCAAACAATATCTTTCCCCATTTGGGGACTTAGTAGATGAGTTAGATCTGCTCTTATTGCTCTAGATTCAACTTCTGAAACTCTGAGAATGGCAGATAGCAGCCTGTAGGTACAAAACAGAATTTGTTTATTTTCTTATTAATTCATTGTTTAACCATATTTTTTCAAGTTCATGTTTTTGTTTTCTCAACTCCCTGGTTTTTAGGCCAGGCTATATTTGGAAATTTTCACCAGTGGGGGTGTAGACAAACGCCCCATTTTACTTCTGACCTTTCAGGAATTAGGAGACAAAGACTAGACTAGGCTAGACCACAAGGACAACACTAGCTACATCCTCTGTTGAAGCAGTATTTGCACGTGCGATTCAATTCAGCATCACTATCAGGTGTTTTCCGATCGAACGGAAGAACGTGTAAAATTTCAGGTTCAGAGTACATGCTAAACTCTCAGCACTGCACCATCACTGACAGCCTGTATCTCAGTCACATTCAACAGTGTAGGACCTGGGAATTGACTTACTTAAAACGTTGTGAATACTGACCTTTGTTCCTATATCTGATTGTCCTACATGTAGCAAACTTGACTCATAATGCTTAAGGGCACTTTTAAATAAAAATCTTGCTAGAATATGTGTACACACTTATTTCAATTTACATATTTATATCCTTTCCTACACTACACAATTCATGTGGCTGTGGGGTTTCAATGACATAGATTAATACTGTAGACAAATAAGTCTTTGTTCTGGGGCTGGGCATGGGATGTACATAATCAGAAGCTATATATATATATGTGTATATATATATATATATATATATATACACACACACACACACGTGTATGTGAGTATATGTGTGTGTATATATATGTATATAGGTATGTATATGTGTGTATGTGTATATACATACACACACATATATATGTACGTACGTACATATATGTTACTTGACTTTAGTCAAAAGACAATGTTGCAAGGATAGAACTGAAAGAACCTCTTATAACACCATGTTATGAACATCAGTGCCAAGACCTGAGCTCTAATCACCTGAAGTTTGGCTTCCATTGCTTTCCTCACTGTTCTTACAGGGACTAAAATGATCTCCTTATAACTAAATCCTATGTGCATCTTTATCCAACTTAATGTCTCAAAAGCACTTACACTGTTGACCATTCCCCATCTTCCCTTCACCATCCCTGGCACCATACTTCCAACATGTGCCTAATCTATTTGCTTACTTCTTCCCAGTCTTTATTATGTCCTCTCTTCCTTCTTTAAATCAGATAAGATTTCAGGATTCCACGTCAGAACTTCTTTTTTCAGTGTATACTCCCTATACTACTACTCTTCCAACTTCCATAAACTTTAGAAGGAATGTAAACAAACCCCCAACTACTTCACAGTACATTTATTAATATATCCATTTGATCCATAAGATTAAACCATCTCAGATTTTATCATTTCCAGCTTAATGAAATTTGTAATTTAATGGTTACTTTAATCCTTTACATTCATGCACTGGAATTACAATAGGGTTTGACATCCACCGTCATCCATTAGAAAAATAGAGAAACAACCTTTTTTTTTTAACAGTTAGAAAGTTGACATTGTTTTTCTCCTTCAACTTTCCTTTCAATTCCATGGCCCCCAAATAGTATCCTAATATAGATTTTGAATGTTATCTATTATATTGATTATTACAATATATTTCTCTGAAACAAACATATGTATATAAATTGAAATATAATTCTTTACAATTTTCAAAGATGTTGAGACTTAATGTCTAAACATATCTTCTGGACTGAGCTACTGTTATGAGCTATTAGTTGACTAAAACATAAAACAGATTTAAATAAATTATTAAACATAAAAATAAAATGTTTTGCATCTCTTCACGAGATTAATGTAGCTGTTTTATTTTTCCCAATTAGTTCATGCATCTATGTATAAATATTACTTACTGCTAGAATGAGACATGGTGGAGCATAATTGGACTCCTAGTTTTCATACAGATGAAGGGAAGGTATTTAAAAACGGCTATGTCACTGAGTTATGTGAACTTCTATGTTGTATGTCAAAAATCACCAGGATCACTTATCAAAAATGTTTAATGATCGATCAACTGACAACTTCAGCCCATCTTCAATTGTATTTAATGCAAGGGAATGAAGATATCCTGACTTAGAAAATAATGTATTACTTACTATTCAGCCCTCCACTCTACTAATGCCACACTATTTTAACCTGTCCTTTATCTGGCATACTGCAGGTTTTCACACATCACAGTAAGATTCAGAATGAGTAAAAGCTTTTGCCTTTCTTTTGTAAAGTGGGAGAAAACAACAACAACAAAAAAAACCATAGGTAGTTCTCAGGCAGATAAATCTAAGGGTCCCGTGGAGCCTTCCTTGACTCCTTCTACTCTCTTCACCACCATATTCAATCAGCAAAGTCCTGCAGAGTTCTCTCTGAAATACCTTTCAAACCCATTGCCTTCCATCTTCCCTGCCACTCTTACTACCGAAAATGTTTCCTGACTTGCTTTCTCATCCTTTAAATCTAACTTCTAGAGCATAATCCGAAAATAATTTGATTAGTTCTTTCCCTGTTTCAATTCCTTTTCACCGTTTTTACTTGTACCTCATTAGCCCAGCCCACAGCACCATTCCCTACCTCCCCATCTTCATCTCACATAACATCCTTCCTTCCCACATTTACACACCAGCATCTCGTGCTTGAAGCCATGCTCTCTTTTACTTCGAGTCTTTGCCTATGCTACTGACGCTGTCTGGAATTATTACTCTTCCCCGCCCTCTGTACTTCACAAAGCCCTGTTCATCCTTTAGGTATCAGTTTAAATGTCATCTATTCCAAGAACTCTGACCTCCACCTGTCCCTGCAATAGGTCAGGTGAACTTCCATGCTTCTACACTACTTTTATTTTTTCCTGACTTTCTGGCACAGAGGGGAGCTGAAAAAACTGATGAAGACTTCAGAAGATGTTCAACTGTTGCTATCCCAACCCTGATCTGCCAATCCTACTTTAATTTCTTAAGCATGCTATCGAAACACACTTTATATTCCAGACAGCAAAGTTTCCCATACATTCCAAATTAATCCAAGGTGACACCTTCATTTCTTAAGCCAAAAGTCAGCAGAGGAAGTAAAACAGAGCTTGAACCTCTCACAACCTCCACTGCTATCACTCTGGTCTGGGCCACCATCATCTTTCTCTTGGAAATTAGCTGCTGACTGGTCTTTCTGCTTCCACTTATGTACCCCCTCCCAAAGTTTACTTTCAATCCAACAGTTAAGAGTTGGATTTTTCACACAAAAGTTACTATTCTGCTCAAAACCCTACAGTGGTGCTCCATTTAGTTCAGAGCAAAACCAAAGACCTTACCAGGGCCTAAAGATCTTGTTTGATTTTCCCTTTTTCCCCCTCTAACTCCATCACCTATAATACTCCCCCTGACTCTGCTTAACCCACAGGCATTGGAATTAGCTGTTCATTCTGCTTAGAATAACCTTCCTGGTCAACTCCCTTACCAATCTCAAGCCTTTGCTCAAAAGTCATCTTCTAAACAAGACCTATACAGATCCCCTTATTTTAAATCACAAACAATCCCCACAACCTGCATTCTTGACCCCCTCACCTGGCTCAATTTTTTACCCACAGTACCTACTATTTGCTAACTTACTATATGACTTACTTTGTCATTATCCCTCTCCCCCACAAAGAGCTCTAAAAGAAGAGTGACTTTTGCCAGCTGTGTTCACTGATGCATCTCAACCTTCAAATAGTGGCTGGGACTGAGTAGGTGTTTAATAATTAATGTATAATTATTTCCTTTTCAATAAATGTGAAATACTTTTTTAAAATCAACAATGAATGTTTCTCCCATATTCCAATCAATTTCACATTGATTCTTTGCATTAAAAACAGCTATCTTCAGGCCAAGGGACCCGTTGTCCTAACCCTCACCTCAACCCTCCACAGTCTGTGCTCTCAGACACTGTAGTGTTTTGCTCCTACCCTGACACCTAAGACTGCCAAAAATGGAAAAAGCACTTAAAATACAAAGAAAGCATTTCTGTTGGTTCTGCCCAGGCAAGAAATATATAACGTGACCGCACCCTGCATAAACTGCCTTTGAAAGTAACATTCACTATGAACCAAACCAAAGTAAAAGAATTAATTTCCAAACACTAAATCAAATGCCCGTTGTTGCTGTTGTTGTTATGTGCCATCGAGTCGGCCCCGACTCATAGCGACCCCTCCTTGGGTTTCCGAGGCAGTATCACTACGGAAGTAGGATTGCCCAACCTTCCTTCTGAGGAGTGGCTGGTGGGTTTGAACCGCCAGCCCTCTGGTTAGCAGTCAAGTGCTTTAGCACTATGCTACCAGAGCTCCTCAAATGCCCGTAGTAATTCCAAAAAGGGTAGATGAAACTTTTTCAATAAAGCATGTTAGAACTTTATTTCAAACAAGAGAATGCAATAAAAGAAAGAAATTCCCAAATATTTCCTTGATATCACCTTAATAATTTCCACTCTAAAAAAAATAATTTTCTATTGCATAGGTTTAAATGATATCCAGGCATTTTTGTATTCAAAAAAAGAAAAAAGAAAGAAAGAAAAAGGAAGGGGAAAGCACCCTATGAGAGTTACCAACTTTGCAATTGACAAAAACCAATGTTACTTTCATACTGACATCTATACCTGCAACCTAAACTTAAGATACTGAAAATTAAAATGACATCTTCAAATCCACTTTTAGGAGTATATTTAGTCCACATTTACCTTTCCTTAATTTCATCATTAAGAATTCATGAAAAATTTGCTACTAATATTTAGGAAGATTAAAGAGAATGTTCTCATTGGAAGCACTCTGCTGTCCTGTAACTTCCCCTTGACAGCACTGTCAAGTTTCACATATGCAAGAAAATTATTTCTATTATATATAATAAAAATTAAATTTCTCCTTAAGATTGCATTAAAATGTAGTTTTAGCTTTTATGAACAAGAAACGCTTGTTAACTTGCATCTTTGGTTTCTAGGAATCTCAAAGGTCTTTTTTCTGTCATTGAGGGTGCTTTACACTCATTAGCACCGCTTCCTGATGAACAAAGGATATGGTCACAGTATATGAGATCAAATGTCCACACAAAGTCTCATTGTATCAGAATAACTGCACGCTTGCTTTTCTCAGAACTGGGTATTGATACTGATTCTCATTGGAGTCTCGTTGCTTACATATACTTGGTACTTGCAGTCCTTTTGTATTTCAAGGCTTCTCCAAATTTTTTTTTCTTTCTTGTTATCAAATTTACAACGAGCCTGTCACTCAAGTCAACTACCCATCAACTCAGAATTTTATAAAACAGTATCAATTACAAGAGCACAGCTATAGAGTTCATATTACCTAATCACAGAATCTGTTCTGTTGTACCCTGGGATGGAAGAAGCCTTTTCTCCTGGAGATCCCAAAATTTGAAGTGTTGTATTAATGTCAACTTCAGATGAACGCTTAATGGAATATTCCATTATTTCTGGAGGTATTAGCGGAGTCTCTCCCTGAGTATCATCAGCTAAGAGGTAGCCTTCAGTTTAAAAAAAATTAAAAATGAACACTTAACAAATCTACATTAATCAAATTGCACTACAAAGGTTTTCAGTTTTATTTGATTTCTATACATCATATAAACTGATGTAAATCATAAATGCTAATGTATCAAGTCTGATGAGAAGAACTTTCTATTTCTCACATAATAATCCTCAAAAATACAGAAAAGGTTTTAATCATCAATTTTAGAATTCCAAATGACAACGCTTAGGTTTTTAAATAATTTTTACTAATTCTCAGTCAGTAAGAAATTTTGTAAAGTTAATGTGAATTCTACTATTATCTATACCAAAAGTTGGTATCTGGGATAATTTTTCAAAAGTTAAATTTTTATTTTTAATTTTTTCACTGATTATATTTAAAGTATAGAAACACTGAGAGTATAGTGGTTAAGATGGATGGTCCTAAAAGTCAGACTGCCTAAATTGACATTTTGGCTCCCACAATTAAGAGCAGTGTGACCATGGTCAATTTCTTATACTCTCTAAGTCTCAGCTTCTTCATTTATAAAATGGGGAGAATAATGATAATAACAATAATACCTAATAATTCTACTAACTCCATGGGCTACTATGAGAGCCACATAAAACATCCAGTATGCAACAGGCACTGCATACATGTTCGTCATCATTTAAAAAAAAGGTAGTCATAGTTCTGTGACAGACAACAGCTGGATCCAAATTTCATCCATTACTGTATACAGGTTATTGTCCTTAATATTTAATATTGGAAGCTTCTTTTAAAGTTGAAACTGCTTGTTTCTAATTACATTTTTAAAAAGAACCACCAACCAACCTGTAACTAAAATAAGCCAGTGAATATCTTCATACAGATCATCCAGCATTTTGTTGTCGATCGTGCCTGAACCAGATGAGGCAAGTAACTGCTGCTGGTGTCGCTGTAACTGACCATGAAGCCGTGTTACTCGTTCTTCTAATAAGCTAGAAGGGCAGAAAAACAACAGCTTCATAAAACTCAGCAACCAGAGACCGAGACAACTAATAACCTCCACTTATTAGACAACATGAATTGTTAGTGCAAAAACACATATACGAAAATCTGTATTACAGTACACAATTGGATTCCCACAGTACTATAGCAATTGTGATTTACTGTTTATGACATAGAATTAAAAGACTGCTTTACAAACAATCAAGATTTACAATGGCATTTGAAAACCGGTTATTCCAAGTTTTTATTTATATGGGTCAAATCATTTCTCATACCATGTTTTCCATAATCTCTCTGCCATCTATCCTGTAGTGCCTGTGCTCCAAGTATATATGCCAAGGAATGCAATCATGAGTATGTTTCTGTCCATTTGTTCCAGTGTGCTGGAATACGGGGTGGGGGTGTTTAAAGTCTTTAAACACCTTAAGTGCTCTCCAGGGAATTGTGAACATAGAATACTTTCTCCATGGGGTTTCTTTGGACTGTTTGTACCTTGTAAGAAGAGGTATACAGTGATCTGCAGCAATTCTTCCTAGCATTCCTACACTGGCCAATTGGTCAGAAAACTGGTCTCGATCATCTTCTTGAAGTTCGCTAATTTCTTCTTCCTCACGAGAGGCCACACCATTGGCAGTCTATTTAGATGAAAGAAACAAAGAATTAGAGACTGTGCGACCTTGCTCAAGGAAGCATGAATCTCTGTTGCACTGTGTACAATTTCCAGCACTGAAAATGAAAAGTGGAGCAGGGCAGAGTCAACCTCCTAGTGTAGTTGTCAAGGAGACTATGCTACACACCATATTAGTTACATGAAGAAGGGGCAGTGAACACAGGAGAGAAGGAGGTAGAAGTATTTACCCCCACGGTGCACATACATGAACACAGCTGACTGCATACCCACGACCTCCACACTAGAGAATCTAACCTCTTGTCACTGAGAAGATTTGACATCACTAAGAATCATCGTCCTTGGATCATTCACATTGCCTGATAACTATAAAGACTCAGGTGGAGAACTGATAACTTAAAAGAAATAAGGTAACTCAAGTAACATCCTACATAAAAAGAACTCATTCAGACAATGGAACTTACTTTCACTCTCAACCTAACACTCTCAATAAGTTTTCTGAATATGTCCAACCTCAATTTCTAGTATTACACAATACACATGATTAAACAGACAAAACAGTCTATGATAAAACAGATTTTTAATTACCATCTGACTTAAAACTTACCAAATTCCTTGTGCCATCTGGAGCAGCTAGGTGGCACTGAATATAGGAATTAAAGACTTGAACTGCATGCTGGGTAAAAAAGCCTTTATGGAAATGTTTGTCATCTTGGACCAAAGTTAGCCAGGACTCCAGCAATTTATCATATGCTTCCATGTATACCATGTCATCTTTATCAAGCTAGAAGAACAGAATATCCATAAAATAAATGGCCAGAGAAATAAAATAGGCAGTATAACAAGAGTTGTGAAGCTAAAGCAGTTTTATAAATTTTTCCTCTACCAAATGTTCCCAATTATTTATTCAATAACCTCTCTAATAGGCTCATTATAAAATTAGCTAATCGATTCAAACAAGGAACTCTGGTGGTATAGTGGATAAGGCATTTTGGCTGCTAACCAAAAGGTCAGCAGTTCAAACTTTCCTCCAAAATGTACACCAAAATGTCTATCAGCTGCTCCATGAGAGGAAGATGAGGCAATCAACTTCTGTAAAGATTTACAGCCTTGGAAACCCAATGGGGGTCACTTTGAGTTGGAATCCATTCAATGACAGTGAGTTTTAATCAACTCAAACACTAGCATAAATTGTTAGAGACAACTAGAAATGAGGTGTTTTTTTTTTTTTTTTTTAAAGAAATTAGCTGTTTAGTACTTTGAGGAAAATAATTTTCAAATAAAAATACAGTAAGTTTCCTGTAGTCGAGAACAGAATTTTTAAAATAAAAATACAATATGTATACTTCCTATGCATTGTAAAAATGGATTCTGGTGGTGTAGTGGTTCAAACTCACCAGCTGCTCCCTGGAAGAAAGACAAGGCAATCTGCTTCTGTAAATATGTACAGCCTTGGAAACCCAACTAGGTTGCTAAGAGTTAGAATCGACTCAATGGCAGTGAGTTGAGTTTGGTTTATACATTGTAAAATGACTTTAGAGAAACTGAAGATGATGAACAGACTGATCTGATCATAATATTTAAGGTTTATGTGGGAATAATATAATAGATGTTACTTAACAATGGACAAAAGAGCTTTGATGGCACAGTGCCTATTACCTATTTAACCCTCAGTAACTATGAGACAAAAATAATTAGGAGAGTATGGATTATATAAGGAGCTCTGGTGGTGTGGTGTCTAAGGCATCTGACTGCTAACCAGAAGGTTGGTGGCTCAAACCCCCCAGCCACTTCGCAGAAAGAAGACTGGGCAATCTACTTCCATAAAGATTTATCACCTCAGAAACCCAATGGGGGTCACTATGAGTCACTACAGAGGTGGATTTGGTTTAACAATGGACAGCTAATTTTATAATAAAAAGAAAAAAGAAAAATTCCACACAGTAGAAAAGCAATGTCTTCAGTAAATTTAATACCCATAGTATTAGAGAAATATAAAAAATGGGCGTTCTCTAGAGAAAAACCCAAAAGCTTAACAAGCAAAAACACTTTGTGAACACAGAAGTGAATACATCTTCTCCCCCTACTCCCTCCCTTTTTTTTTTTTTGTAGTTTATCTCCATCATTCACATTTTCTTCTTACAAAGGAAGCACAGGTGCAACACTTATAAAACAGGTGAATACGTAAAGAAGGACGGATAGATGGGAAGCCAGGTCTCTCCTTGCCCCAAACCGCTGACTGTTTACACGAGGCTCTGGAGGAGTGAGTGCCCCATAAGGCTGACTCCGTGTATGATTCCACTAAGAGACAATACATACCATATGAGCATGTCAGCATCTTTTTTTTTTTAAATGCATTTTATTAAAATATAATGTATGTACAGTAAACACACAAAACTAAAGTGACATGGGTCAATGCATTCTTTTTGTTTTTTTTGCAGTGTTTATTCCCCTTCCCTCCCCTCCCTGGCAACCAACAACAAAAGTTTCCTTCCATATGTAAACCTTTCCCTGACACTCCATAACAACGAACTAATACATTTGTCCATCTGTGATTGACTTATTTCACTCAGCATAATGTCCTGCAACTTCATCCACATTATGCAGTGTTCCACAGATTCTACATTATTCTTTAGTGTTGCATAATATTCTACTGTTTGTACGTACCATAGTTTGGTTATCCATTTCTCCGCTGATGGGCACGTAGGTTGTTTCCATCTTTTTGCTATTGTAAACAGTACTGTGATGAACATGGGTGTGCATATATCTGTTCCTGTCCTGGCTCTCACCTCTATAAGATATATCCCTAGTAATGGTATTGCTGGATCAAATGGTATTTCCAATTCCAGCTTTCTGAGGAATCACCATACTGCTTTCCACAGTGGCTGAATCACTTCACAGTCCCACCAGTAGCGTATAAGAGTCCCAGTCTCTTCATATCCCTGCCAGCATTTGTTATTTTCTGTCTCGCTGAACCTTGCCATTAGTGCTGGGGTGGGATGGTATCTCATTATTGTTTTGATCTGCATCTCTTTGATGGCCAAGGATTATGAGCATCTCTTCATGTATTTGCTGGCCCCTGGAATACGCTCCTTGGTGAAGCGTCTATTCATGTCTTCTGCCCATTTTTCAATTGGATTGTTAATCTCTTTGCTGTTGAGGTGTTGGAGTTTTCTATAAATCTTAAGAGCTAAGTCCCTTGCATGGTACGTAATTATCAACAAGTATGAATTTGTTGCTCTCATTTTGTTATGTGCTTTTTTGGGATGTTGATTTCTTTCTTCCATATAATTTTCTGTGCTGAGCTTGTTTGGTTTATGAGTCATGTTATCACTTCCTTCACTGCTATTGTTTTAGTATTTGCTAAATATTTGTACTGGTCTTCTTTTTCATTTTGATGTGAAGGTTTATCATTTTTCTTTTAGGTTACCCTGTGGTTTATAGTTTTCTTTCCAAGGTTAGAACGGTCCATTCTATCTTTTAGTTGTCTTGACTTCTCTACTGTCTAGAAGTTCTGTAACAACACAGGCTTTTTTTCCCTTCTTTTTGGTTTGTAGTAGTCCTCATTTGTCAATTGATGTCTCTGGTTTCCTGTTTTCAATCTTCTAGGCTTATTTACTTTGGATACTTCTATAACTGGGTTGGTTTCTGGGTTATATCATCATGTGTGTTAATGGTCAGTTGTTGTTTGCTGCTGTTGCTTCTCTATCCAAAGGACTCCCTGTAGCATCTCTTGTAAGGTTGGTCTGGTTTTAACAAATTCCCTTAAAGTCAGCTTATCTGTGAATGTCCTAATTTCACCATCAAATTTGAGGGACAATTTTGCTGGGTATATAATTCTTGGTTAGAAATTTTTCAATTTCAGGGTTTTATATATACCATCCCATTGTCTTCTCATCTGCCTGGTTTCTGCCAAGAAATCCGAGCTTAGTCTTATTGGCTGCCCCTTATAGGTAACTTTTCGTTTCTACCGTGCGGCTTTCAGGATTCTTTGTCTTTGGTTTTGATGAGTTTGATGATGATATGTCTTGGTGATTTTCTTTTGGGGCCTATCCTGTTTGGGGTTTGTTGGACTTCTTGAATGGATATATTCTCATCTTTCATCATTCCAGGAAAATTCTCTTCCAACAAATCTTCAACAATTTTTTCCATGGTTTTATTTGTCTCTTCCTGTTCTGGAATTCCAATTACATGTAGGTTATTCCCTTTAACTGTGTCCCACATGAATGTTAGGCTTTCTTCATGTGTTTTGATCTTTTTTCTAATTGATCCCTTTCCAAAGAAGTATTGAGGGATTTGTCTTCAATCTCACTAATTCTGTCTTCCATTGCATCAATTCTACTCCTTTGCTCGTTCCATGTGTTATCTATTTCTGAAATTTTATTATTAATCTTCTGTATTTCTGTCCGTAGATTTTATATTATTTCTTATGTTTCATTATTTTGTCATTTTGTTCTTGTATTGTCTTTCAAAATTTTCTAGGGTCTTCTCTGCGTTTTCCTCAATTTTGTCAGTGTTTTCCTTGATCTGTCTCTCAATTTGTTGAAGGTACCTAAATATAATTCTTTTCAATTCCTTATCACTCACATTCACTGCCGTCGAGTCAGACTGACTCATAGCGACCCCTCCTTAGGTTTCCAAGGCGGCATCACTACAGAAGTAGATTGGCCAACCTTCCTTCCAAGGAGTGGCTGGTGAGTTTGAACCGCCAGCCTTCTGGTTAGCAGTCAAATGCTTCAGGCACTACGCTACCAGAGCCCCTAATTCCTTATCAGAGAGTTGCAATGCAACATCCTCAGGGATGTGTTTTGGGTCTGTATCCTGGTCCCTTGTTTCTCCTGCTTTATCTTGCTTCTTCAAGTGGACTGTGATGCTCTGTAGTCTCTGAGGCATTGTGACATTTTTGTGTTTATATTTAATTGGTGACTGTATGTTGAAGTAACTTGCCCATGATTTTTATTTTCTTTGTCTTGTTTGTATATTATCTACATAAGCAGGGTACTGTGCTGTGCTCCTCTATTCACTAGTTGTCAGCACTTATGCACTCACCACCTGTCTCCCGTTTCAGCCACCATTATGTCCCTGTCATCCTTGGTAAACGGAGCCTATTCTTAGGTCCCGGGAATCTGAATGAGAACGCTGTCACTTTAAAATTCAAAATGGCCACTGCTTGGATACTTCTATCTCTATGGCATTTAGTGTATATGCTGTAGTATTTTTTGTTTGCTTTGCTCTCTTCCTCATTGCACCATGCTCCCAAGCATGAGTGGTACATGATATATGATATCCTTGGACTAGACATAGTGTTTGATAAGTACTTCTGTTTCATTGATCTAGTGGCTTTGTGGATGGATTTGTGGCCTTCACCAGCCAGGATTAGGGAACTTTTCAGAGAAAAAGGTAACACACAGTATACATCCCTAGGCTATTTTATACAGAGTGATTTGTGGTCCAAAACTCAAAATGGCTGTACCCTCAGTCACCTTAAATATCTAAAATGGCCGCTGCTTATAAACAATCATAATGGCTGCACCCTTGGTCACTTTAAATATCCAAAATGGCCACTGCTTTTAAACAATCAAAATGGCTGCACCCTCCGGATAAACCAAAGTCCACAGCTCAGGTTGTCTCTATCCTTGTTGTTTCCCTTCCTAGTCATAGGCCACCAGCGCAGTTGTCCCTGCAGCCCTTGGTGACCAGGGCTGATCTTTAGATCAATTCTCAGGTCCCAACACCACTTGGAAATATTCAGGCTGTTGGTCCCGTCAGAGTAGCTGACAGTCC